GCGGAAGTGACCTGTGCTCGAACAAAACACATGTAAATACCGCGTGAAGACAAGGACTAGGGATTTCCCACATCTGTTGGCAAAATCTGGCGGAAGTGACCTGTGATCCAGCAAAACACCTGTAAATACCGCGCTAAAACAGGGGCTACGGATTTCACACATCTGCTGGCAAAATCTGGCGGAAGTGACCTGTGCCCGAACAAAACACATGTAAATAGCGCGTGAAAACAAGGACTAGGGATTTCACACATCTGCTGGCAAAATCTGGCGGAAGTGACCTGTGATCCAGCAAAACACCTGTAAATACCGCGCTAAAACAGGGGCCAGGGATTTCACACATCTGCTGGCAAAATCTGGCGGAAGTGACCTGTGGTCCACCAAAACACCTGTAACTCAGATCCGAAAACCATAGATCGCAAGGGGTGTCACCCTAAGGGTTTTTGTAATAAATATGTTTCAAAAACACAAATCGCAAGGGGTGTCCCCCTAATTAATTAAGGTTTTGTAAGAACTCCATTACTAGAATCACAGATCGCAATGAGTGTCCCCCTAAAGGCTTTTTCAACAAATAGGTTCCAAAATCACAAATCGCAAGGGGTGTCACCGCAAGGCAGGGTGGGAGAAGCGGGGGAGAGGCATGGGGTTAAGGGCAGGGGCTGGGGCCCTTTGGCTTGGGCTGGGGTTGGGCAGGGCTGGTAAGCTTGGAATTCGTGGCTGCGGCTGGGCCACTGGGGCTGGGGTTGGGCAGGGCTGTTGGCTGCAATTTTGGGGGCGGCTGGAGCTGGGTGGCCCGGGCCATGGGGCAGGGGGGTGGAGGCGGGCTGGGGGGGGATTGTGGGGGCCGGGGTTGGGGCTGGGGCTGAGGGCTGGGGCTGGGGGCTGGAACTGGGGGCTCGCGGATTATACAGGCTTTCTGCTCGATCAGAGATCACTTCCGCCAGATTTTGCCAGCAGATGTGTGAAATCCTTAGCCTTGGTTTTGACGCGGTATTTCAAGCTTTCTGCGTGATCACCGATCACTTCCGTCAGATTTTGCCAGCGGATGTGTGAAATCCCGAGCCCTTGTTTTAACGCGGTATTTACAGGCTTTCTGCGCGATCACCGATCACTTCCGCCAGATTTTACCAGCGGATGTGTGAAATCCCTAGCCCTTGTTTTAACGCGGTATTTACAGGCTTTCTGCTCGATCACGGATCACTTCCGCCAGATTTTACCAGCGCATGTGTGAAATCCCTAGCCCTTGTTTTGCCACGGAAAGCTGCTAAACCCGTGCTCGGTTTTAGTGTGGTATTTACAGCACTTTGACAAGGTCGCAGCCCGATCGCACCAAATTTTGTCACACAAAGTTGCTAAACCCCTGCTCGGTTTTAGTGTGGTATTTACAGCACGTTGACAAGGTCGCAGCCCGATCGCACCAAATTTTGTCACGCAAAGTTGCTAAACCTCTGCTCTTCAACTTAGCGCTTTTCGGATTCGGCTGGGGCGGCTCTTTCTTGGTGGCGGCTTCGGGAGGGCTGGGCCTTGTTCTGGAGTTCTGGAAAAGAGGGTTGGGGCTGGTGTGGGGTGGGAGTCTTAGCAAAGCTGGTGGTTGAGGCTCTGAGGGGAGCGCTGGGCTGGGGCTGCAGGCTGGGGCTGGGGAACTGGGCGGGAGGAGGCAGATGGGCAAGGCAAGGCACCGGAAAGCAGCCGAGGGGCAGGGGGTAGAGGGGGGGCAGAGGCAGGGGGCAGGGGCAGAGAGGGAGAGCTGGCCGGTGGGGGCGGGCGGCTGGGACTGGGCTGGGGGGATAGGGGCAAAGGCAGCAGTCAGGAGGCTGGGGGGGCGGGCGGCTGGGGCTGGGCTGGGTAGAGGGCGGGGAGGGAGAGCTGGCGGAGGCGGGCGGCTGGAGTTGGGCTAAAGGGAAGGAGCAAAAACCGGTGTAGGGGCTGGGGGTGGAGGGCGGCTGGGGCTGGGCTGCGAGCTGGCTGGGTCAGGGGGCTGGAGCTAGAGGCTGGGGGCTGGGTGGAGGCCACCGACACCTATCTAAATTTTTAAAAATCTTTAAAATCTTTAAAATCTTTAAAATCTGAAAAGCTTGGTTTGCTTGGTTTTCAAAAATTAAAGATTTTAAAGATTTTAAAAACTTTTAAAACTGAAAAGCTTGGTTTTCAAAAATTAAAGATTTTAAAGATTTTAAAGATTTTTAAAATTTTAAATAGGTGTCGGTGGCCTGGAACCCAGACCTAACGATTTAAAATTTTAAAAATCTTTAAAATCTTTAAAATCTGAAAAGCTTGGTTTTCAAAAATTAAAGATTTTAAAGATTTTTTTAAAATCTTTAAAATCTTTATAAATCTGAAAAGCTTGGTTTTTCAAAAATTAAAGATTTTAAAGATTTTTAAAATTTTAAATCGTTAGGTCTGGGCTCCAGGACACCGACACCATTTAAAATTTTAAAAATCTTTAAAATCTTTAAAATCTGAAAATCTTTGAAAAAATTTTCAGATTTTAAAGATTTTAAAAGCTTTTAAAATCTTTAAAATCTTTAATTTTTGAAAACCAAGCTTTTCAGATTTTAAAGATTTTAAAGATTTTAAAGATTTTTAAAATTTTAAATCGTTAGGTCTGGGTTCCAGGCCACCGACACATATTTAAAATTTTAAAAATCTTTAAAATCTTTAAAATCTTTAATTTTTGAAAACCAAGCTTTTCAGATTTTAAAGATTTTAAAGCTTTTAAAATCTTTAAAATCTTTAATTTTTGAAAACCAAGCTTTTCAGATTTTAAAGATTTTAAAAGCCTTTAAAACCTTTAAAATATTTAAAATCTGAAAAGCTTGGTTTTCAAAAACTAAAGATTTTAAAGATTTTTAAAATTTTAAATCGTTAGGTCTGGGCTCCAGGCCACCGACACCTATTTAAAATTTTAAAAATTTTTCAAATCTTTAAAATCTTTAAAATCTGAAAAGCTTGGTTTTCAAAAATTAAAGACTTTAAAGATTTTAAAAGCCTTTAAAATCTTTAAAATCTTTAAAATCTGGAAAGCTTGGTTTTCAAAAATTAAAGATTTTAAAGATTTTAAAGATTTTTAAAATTTTAAATCGTTAGGTCTGGGCTCCAGGCCACCGACACCTATTTAAAATTTTAAAAATCTTTAAAATCTTTAAAATCTGAAAAGCTTGGTTTTCAAAAATTAAAGATTTTAAAGATTTTACAAGCCTTTAAAATCTGAAAAGCTTGGTTTTCAAAAATAAAAGATTTTAAAAGCATCTGAAATCTTTAAAATCCTTAAAATCTGAAAAGCCTGAATTGATATAGTATTGATAAACAAAGCAAAGCCATACGTCAAATAGACCCTGAAGGTCCTACGTACAAAACCCTATACCCCGCGCCTGGACCTAGTGCTAGGCCCAGAGGTGCCCAGAGCCGAAGTTGCGGCTGATCGCGGGGGCGGGCAGGTGTGCGGAGTATTGGCGAGGGCGTACGTGCGTGCATGCGAGCTCGAGGGGCCGGCAGCATCGGAACGTCGGAAGAAGAATCTGCTGGCTGTCAGGGCCTCATCTGGCAACTTGGAGACCAAGGAAGGCCAATGCTGCTATGCTTCGAAGACTGCCACTCCGGAGTTTTCAAGGTAGAGCATATAGCCAGAGAATTTAACAGGTTCCACGGCGTCTCGGAAATCCTTCCGACAGGATCAGGCAACTCGGCGATGGCGTGCGAGTGTGATGAGGCGATGGCCGCTTACAGTGCCAGGTGCCACTCACCATCGCCGCCCACCGACCTAGTCTGGAGTCCAGGGAGGCACACATCCAAACAGAGCGGAGAGAGAGCGAGAGCGGAGAACCGTGGGGGGGGTCGCCCTTGACTTCGTAAATTCCCCCGCCGGAGGAACCCTTCGCTATGTTGCCAGGGCAAGTCGACGAGGCAGTCTGTAAGCTGTGCTGCGTCAGCGTTGGCCACGGGAGCACCAGTGTGGAGACTGTCACGAAAGCTTAAGCAGCTTAAGCCTAAGCTGCTTCTCGACCGCCCCCGCAATCAAATTTCGGGACGGATACCAGGCGCAAGTGCGGGGCTTGTGGTAGCGCAGGAACTTCAAGTGAGCAGAATGCACGAGCATCTCTTGGTGCCCTGCTAGATGGCACGAAAGCCATTCCAAAACAGCTTGCTGGGTCATGACATGTCATGGAATGTCATGACATGCCTTTCGCAAGGGGCAGCCGCAAGCAGGCAGGATGCTGGTCCAATGCAGGTTGCCGTTTGCGACTCTGCCGTGTTTCGTGAGAGTCGCAGTTGCAGAGGCCGCCAGTCCCCCGAGAGCGGAGGGCTCGTCACGGGGCAAGCGACCCTGAGGTGAGAGCATTCCTTCGGTCAGCTTGAGCTATGGAGCTTGTTGGCCTATCAAGACTTGAACTCCTAGAGATTCGTTGGATAACGGTCAAACGCATGCAAGTCCACAGCTCGCAGCCAACCATTCAAAACGGGCAGTTTCAAACTGCAAGTTGCGAACAACACAGCACAAGCATAGGTGACATCTTTGCAAGTTTTTAAGTGCGTGCCACCTACCATCCACTTTTCAGAAATCGCCGGAGCCTCACGAACGACTGCTTGAGGCTTGTGCACATGCATGCACGAGTTGGGCTTCCTCGCTCTCTCTCGCTCTGTCTCTTTCTTTGGGGCTCTATGGGCCAAGGGTTCTTTGAGAGAAGCGCAGACACTCAGGCCTGGCTGCCGAATGTCAGCTGCAGGATTCGACGATTTGGCGAAGCCATCGTCCAAAACGCGTCCGACTTTTGCAGATTCTAGCCGACTGCGAAGTTTGGAAACCCTTGGTTTGCTGCCCTGACCCATGACCAAACTTCATCTGCTCACAGAAAAAGAGGGCGATTGCTGCTCGGGAAATCCGGTACTCTTCGCGGCCCTCTCATGCTTTGCACTTAGTTCGGAAAGACGCAGAACTATGAACCCTGCGAGCGCGTGCGCTTGCTTGGCCCATGCGGGTCTGAAGCGATGCCTTGCTCAGGAAGATGGCGGCGGCGGCTTTCCGTCGTTGCTCACTCTTTGGACACGCAGGCGCTGCTGCTCTTAGCTCTCGCCGTGTCTCGCTCTTGGTGCTCCCATTGCTGGAGGTCTCGTTCCGATGCGACGACTGGCCCCAGAGGGTCCTGGCCACAGCACCATGCATTTCCCATTTTTCGCAACTTGTGAGCCTTTTCAGAAGGTTGCAGAATCACGACTGCCCCAGCCTCGGTGGCGCGGTGGCAGGCGAAGCGTTGGGATGTCCAGGCGCGTGTTGCTTGCGAGATCGTTGCGCCCCCCTTGTGCGTAGATATCACTGTGTAGGCCTTTCCGATTCCTAGCGGTCGCAGCTTCAGTGCTGGAAGCTCAGCACGCTGAGGAGAGCGCCTCCCCGTTTGTTTTCTGCAGCTTACGCTCCAGAGAAAACTCTTTATGAGTTTGCGTGTCACACACGTGTACCTGGCGTACCTGCACACGCAAGCACGCACCCACACTCCTGGAGTAGCTATCGTCATCTGTCGTGCGGCATCGTCCCATTGGGAACGCCATGCGCGTCGCTGCCCGGTTCTTGTCGTCACTGTGCCACTTGATGGCTGTCACGATAGCGAGAAGTTTTCGTTGAAAGCCAGTGCCTTCGTCGCAAACTGGCTCGTGTCCGCCAAAAGCGCGTCAGGGAAGCGCACTGCTCAGGCATGCTCAGGCTAGGGCAGCAATATGGTGCTCAAAAGGCGTAAACTTCACGTCACTCGGTGAAAGCATTTGATTTCTCATCTTCCCGAGTGTTGATCTGGATGTCATCACTGTTACTTGAAGAGCCTGCCGGGAAATTCAGGCAGTCTCCTCCGTCCGCGCCTCAGAACGCTCTTGCACTTGTCGACATTCACAGAGCCTTGGCCTTGTCGGGACATCCCGGGTTCAAGCATGTTCGTGTAGAAGCTGTAAACGACATCCCAACCCCCAAGTGACCCAAGTGGCTGCAGCAATGGTTGAGACAGAAGCTCGACCACAGACAAACAACAGACAACTGCGGCGCGGCGAGCCGCCTGTCGGCCGTCTCTGCCGAAAGGGCAATAAAAGACAAAGCAGATGGGGGTGCCAAAGAATGCCAAAGATCCCCTGGCAGAAGCCGGCCCACAGCTGCGCATTCGTCATAACTCGGAGTCGGAGGATGAAGAGGAGAGGCGAGGAGAGGAGATGTTGGGAGGGCCCAGGATGCATGGCAGCACAAAGGCATTGGCGTGAGTGTTTGAGGCTCAGGGAGGTTTACTCCATTCGTGCTGTTTACAGCATTGACCAACCGGAGCCCGCCGTAGCCCCTCAAACAAGATGGCAGAGTACAGCTGCTCAGTTCGTCAGTTTTGCACGTGGAAAGATCTGCAAAATTTCATCGGACATTGGTGAAAGTACAGCACACTGTTCCAAATTCGAAGGCATCGTAAGAGAAGGCGGGCCAAACCAGGTTGCTCAGCGTGTTCAAACCGCACAGTTGGCATGACAAGGGGTCTCGCAGTGGCCGTGGTCTCGTTCAGTATGTTGCGCTTCTGGGCATGAAGAGCCCCGCACCCAGAGTGGTGATGCTGGAGTTTCCCCCAGACATGCAGGATGACATGGAGCTGCTGAAGCGCAGGAAGAGGCTGTCTTTGTCTTCTCAGGAACATTGCTTTGATCTCCGACTACGACTACGTGACTACCCGAATCCAATGATTTCCCACTTCTGGCCCTGCCTCTCACGCAGTCCTGGTGCAAGTGGCCTACCAACCGGTGCCCTGAACCATTTTTCCAGATGCCACATGCCCCGCATGTCTCGTAGTTGGCAGGCTCACCTGGCGCGCCAAGAGCCGGGGATGGTTGGAGCTAGATGTGCTCATGGGAACCTTCGTGGAGAAGCCACTCCGACATATCTTGTGCTGGTACACCCTGCCTTGAGTCTCAGAGTCGCGCCAGCTCCCTCGTAGCAGGTGAGATCACAGGATCGCACTTGCAACATGCATTCCCAAGCACGCGCAAACTCAAATTGAGTCGGGGCCCAGTCTCGGGTGCGCAACCCAACAAGCCAGGCACATTGCAGACTTTGACAGCGGGAAGCTGGACTTGCTCGAGGAGGTCCAGGGAGTGGGCAGAGCAGCGTTGGATGCCAACCACGTCCCAATCCTCAAAGAGGAGTGTGTCGGGTGCCTCCTGGCAGGTCTTGGAGCTGGAGAATCCGGACCTCTTCAAGTGGTTCACCAAACAGGCCGAGTCCGGTGAACTTGCACGACCCGGGATTCGTGCTTAGCAGTGCAGGTGCCGGTGCCAGAAGAGCTTTTGAAAGAAAACGAGGTCATGCAGCTGATGATGGAGTGCCCTGGCGTATGCTAGCGTGCTGTTCACGAATCCAACCCTGGCCAATCTCTCGATGATGCCGCCGCATGCAGGTACGTCAAGAGCGACCACACAAGTGACTTCAGTGTCAAAGGAGCATGAGAGTGGTTGTGTTTGCAGTGTCTCACCGACTTTCCCAGGCCTTGCGCAGTAACGCGTTTTGAGGTTGGTACTCGTCGCAAGCTTGCAGCGAGCAGGCTCGTCTTACATGAACTGTTTAAGACCGGCAGTACCTGCACAAAGACCAGGTATTTATGCAACTAATTTTCTGCAGCCTCCTGCAATCTTGCGAACAAGGGTGTTCAATGCTTTGCGGACCGGGCTGGCATACACCATTTCATCTGTTTTGCTGGCATGCCTCCGTTCTCCTTCAACCTCAATTGCTGATGAGGTAGTTGACCATGCGTATGCTCATGAACTCAAGCAATTCACTCCTCGACTCCTGCAGGCAGGTTGAGAACAGCACCCAGCTTCCAGACCCGCAGACAGTGCGACACTGTGCCAACTCGGTCGTAAGCTTGCGTCCCAATGGCGGCGGGCTACTTTGCTCCAACTTATCCTTCTACTGGCGAACATGAGGCCACAGGATTCTGGGTGCCGTGTCATTCGTGCTGCTAGCGCATTGCAGGCCAACCTTCAAGAGGTTCGTCAGCAAATCGCCCTGCTCAAGCGAGACAATGCCCTTCTGCTCTGTCTGGAAGAGTCAAGCTACTGCATGCAGAATGACCGTTGCATGAACGGTTTGGCAAGGATGTGCTGCGAGAGGAGATGAGGAAAACGACACGAGAGCATGGGTCCCAGCTCTTTCATTGCCTTTTTGGGAACTGTGCGTCTTAGATTCGAGCCATTGCTGCGGCTGCCAAGTAACCATCACCAGATGGAGCGGGCCTTCTGGGCTCGGTTCAAGACGAAGGACGCGCTGGGGTGTTAGCTGCATGCTAGCTGCTAGCTGCTACGCTACTGAACCCAACATGCCTCAAAGATTCGGATTCACTGCACCTTTGTTTGTTTTTTGGGGCTGCCGAGCCTGGCGTGTAGAGTCAAGCGAGATCCAGAAGTGCACCAGCGCGTACAGCGCCAATGCAGAGCAGTGCCCTCAACGTTGTGTCCCTGATATCCTCGATGGATCCACGTCACGCAAAGCTACTCGTCATCCAACGAGTCTAAAATTCAGCAACGAGATCATCTGAGACACAGAGAGCCTAACAGAGTTGGCATCGTCTTTTGAACGGCAAATCAGAAGTAGCAGACGATAGTACGTCGATCTACAAGCTCCGTGCATGCAAAGGATATATCGGACCGCGTGGGTGCCTGAGGCATGTCAGCAGGTGTGTTGATGGTGATGCATGAAGATCCTTGTGCCCACGGTTTTCAGTCTCGGACTCCAGTCCATCAACACTTGCCGAGGCGGAGTACATTCGTATTGCGACCATCACGAATCCCTCGCCAATTGGGCAATACTGCCCGAAGTTGCAAGGCCAGGCTTCCACTGGAGTACAGCAACTAGAAGTAGACTATGCTACACTCTCAAGCAAATGCAGGACCTGAGCCAGACGAGTACTACCAGGAACAGCTTTGTCCGAATCTAGATTGTCCTGGGGCCTGGGGCATAAGTCTCAAGACTCTTCGTTGCATCGTTCACCCGGACAGCCATACGGCTATATGATTGGTGTTGAAAGGGAACCTGCAAGTGCCAGGGTCAGATCCAGAAAGTCCGTCAGAAGACTCGAAACCAACTGTCGCGCGCCCAGCGCAGCAAAGGAGTGCTCCACTCTTGGAGTGGAAGCTGCGGAAGCTGCTCCGCTGCGCTGCCAGGATGAAGGAAGCGGCGCGGCTGAAGGGCGAACGCTTCGCCGAGCCCGAGCCCGAGCGGCCCGAAGCCGTCGGAAGCCTCGTCTCTTTGCGCTCTGCACTGCCCTGATATGCCCTGCAGCCCAGCGGCTGAGGGATGCAGTCCCTCCACGTCCCAAGGAGGCCGCTGCCTCGTCCTGGCCCTGCGTCCTCATGTAATCGCTCTCGCTGTGAAGGTGCCCTGCAATTTCAGCCCTGCGCTGGGAACGGAGAGCAGCCGCTTAACTGTCACTGTGGCAGGTTGGATGTCAGCCGGAGCACATCATAGCTTGTTGAAATTGAGGCGTGGGAAAGCTCCAGGATCCGCATCTGCTTGGCCTTCGCAACCAGACTCATTGGTCTGGTCCTCGACTGACTACATTGATGGAAACAATTGTGATTCTTGATGTCTCCGTGTATAGTAGAACCTGTCAGGAATTCCATGCGGAAGCCTGGCAAGCTGCACAGCCCTGAGTGCTTACTCGCCGCGGTTGGTGCTTGGGACTTTCTGGCCATGACAGCTGGCAAAAGCATGATAGTAAATACGAGCAGTTCCGTTCAAGCGACTAGAGTCCTAGAGTGACTAGAATGCAGTCGTACAGCTCAAAACTTGGTTGCCACTTGCCGGAATCTAGGCCAGAGCTGCTCCCGCGGGATAGCCCCAAGCACGCCTTCAAGGCGCTTGTTTGCTGCCAGTCCGTGATGGTCCTGTCCCTTGGTAAGGCTGACATACTGAAGTGCTCGAGGAAACGGAACGACACGCACACTCACCCACCCACCCACCCACCCTTGCTCGCTCGCTCCCTCACACCCTCGCACCCTCGCACGCAGGCAGGCACGTACAAAGACAAGCATCTGCAGTGGCTGTCTGCATTGCTGTCATTCTGTACTTGGTCTGCTGCTTTTGTTGCTTCTGATCCTGCCCAAGCCGCCAAGGAGGCAGGTTCTTTCATGCGCTGATAGTTGTGGTCAAGGGTCCCACGGCGCCTGGTGGGTCGGCAGGGGTAGACTGTCGACAGACCTAGACTAACTAGAAATAGAAGCAGAGAACATCATCCTAATCTATGCGTGCTACTTTTGCTGCCGACAGGGCTGAGGGTCTTGGAGTCCCGGGCAACGGCGAGTCCTGCCGCGCAGCAGAAAGCATCACACATGTTCTGTCCTGACCACAGAACCTTCACAAGATTTTATGATGGTCTGTTAAGTCGCGGGCTTGACTCTGTTCCTGGATGTTGCTCAGCAGATTTCTGCACACCGAACGGAGCGGGAAGACGGCCTGGCACGCAACGGACACCTCGGCAAACCTTGCCAAACGTGTGCTACCGGCTTCTCCTTTCCTTCATGCGAGCATGCAGAACCACGAAGCTCAAAGCCTTCCGCAGTGTTGGGAAAGGAGAATGTGCCTTAGCCACGACAGTTTCCCCAGTACCCACGACTCCACACCACCTATCCCCGACAAGGTTTTTATCACTTTACTTCCCACTCACTCTTAGGGCAATTTCAAAGGACAGTGGTTTTAGATGGGTTCTACGATATTGTCATCTAAATCCACTGTCCTTTGAAGTTGCCCTACCTTCCCACTCAGTCTTAGGGCAATTTCAAAGCACCGTGGTTTTAGATGGGTTCTACGATATTGTCATCTAAATCCACTGTCCTTTGAAGTTGCCCTACCTTCCCACTCAGTCTTAGGGCAATTTCAAAGGACCGTGGTTTTAGATGGGTTCTACGATATTGTCATCCAAATCCACTGTCCTTTGAAGTTGCCCTACCTTCCCACTCAGTCTTCGGGCAAGTTCAAAGGACAGTGGTTTTAGATGGGTTCTACGATATTGTCATCCAAATCCACTGTCCTTTGAAGTTGACCTACCTTCCCACTCACTCTTGGGGCAATTTCAAAGGACAGCGGATTCGAATGACAATATCGTAGAACCCATCTAAAACGATTGTCCTTTGAAGTTGCCCGAAGAGTAAGTGATAACTTTATTATACGTTACTACTTCTGCCACTAATGGTAATCAGAGTAACTACAAGGCAGTCAATCGCATCAGCAGTCAGTCTGTGGCAGAACCGTTCAACTCTAACACTGCTTCACTTGGAAGCGCAACCGAAAACTGGCGCTCAAAGGGTTCAAGTTAAGATCTCTTTATAATCCCAAACGTCAGCATGTGGATCCTCTGGGATGATTGGACAAGTAAGAAGCCCAGAACTTTCTGCAAGGAGCCCTGAATCTGAAACCCTTGACAGGAACTCCAAATCCCCCGGGTATGAAGAGGTCCTGTGAGAGACAAAGCACGACTCATGCGAAACATTCTTTGTCGTGGGTTTTTGTTTTCTTTTTGTCGGGTGGTGGTGCGTTCCTTGTCGGGGACTGGGTGTTTGAACCGTGTCAGGGATACAGCGCGCTCTCGAAAGGAGCAGATTTCTGCACACCGAAAGGAAAGGGGCAAATCGAGATTCCTGCATGTTGTTTGCCCACGATCACTTGTCAATCTTGGACCCACTACGACTGTGGGGAGCCCGACAATTTCGTATCTTCCATGGCTCTTCCCGGCCATCCTTCTGGTGAGAGGGGGCCAGAGACTGCTACTGGCCGGCTTTTGATCCTGAAAGCTGTCAGGAGAACACGAACGCGTGGATGGCGCGGTCGAATGAAGCAAGCCCAGCCCGAAACCGCGATTACGTGGGAACCTGAGCGTCGTGTCCTTTCCTTATGTCCCGGCTCTCTGATCCATTCTGAGGTTCACATGATGACGCGCTCCCAGTCGTGGCTCAGATCTCCAGCCGCTGCAATCATTGTCTTCGAGGCACCAGCAGCTTTGTTGAGCCTGCTGTCCTCGGCAAGGTCGCAGCCCATGCACGGCAGCGCTTGACGGCGTTTCACTCCAGATTCATCTGATTCCCGGACACCTGCCTGTTTTCAGTGATGCAGTAAACAACCGTGTGATGACCTATTGCTCTGGCTGTCTGCATCCGGGAGCAGAAACACCATGTTTTGGCAAAGCCATGCGCTTGGTGCATCGAACATTGTAGTGTAGAAGCCGGAAAGGTCCAACGCTTGCTCTTGTCAAGTCCATTGTGGGCCTTGGCTGTTCGAGCATCACATGTTCATGCAGCACTGCAAGCCATCCTCCTCCCTGCGAAGCTGCCGTTGCTCCTCAGAGCAAGCCATGGTGTCGCCTGATGTAGTGCCTGCACAGGTTGCAGGCAGGATCTCAGGTCCATCATTGGGGGCAGAATAGCCGGACACTCAGGCATCTCAGACATGCACTCTC